AATTTAAATATTGAAGCTTCATGTAAGATGTTGATGAGCCTACGACATCGTCTTCAAGTACGAAATATGCCTCAAAAACTTCAGTTTGTTCAGATCGATCGTGGAATATCAATTTTGGAGAAAATCCGCAGGGTGATATAAACACTAGCGTTTACCACAAACGGACGGACGTTTGACGGACGTCAGACGTTTTTGCCGTCAATCGATCTTTAGGTAGGTATTAAGGATTTTGACATGCAGCAAAGCATGTATTCTGACTGTACAGTGAGTTTGAAAAAGTTATTTACTATAACAGAAATATGATTAATCCATTTTTTTCATTACCCGGGCCCGGCAATCGGTATTTTTATCGAAAAATTCGCCGTTTTCCAGCGCACGGTTACAATACATTTTCTTAGTAAGAGCGAGAAAGTAAAAATGAGTAATGCTTAAGTAATAACTTTAAGAGGAAGAACCTTTTCAGTATATCACGCATTCCAACTAGTTTTTGTGTGCGAATGTACCGGTATACTATTGAGTACTGTTACAATAAAGGAAGTATAAACTAAAAGCGATTCTTACAATTCCAGAGACTGATAGTAGTAGTACGATATGATTCGATCTTTCCCTGCGTATTGGAATTTTTTGTTGTCAATCTGATACTCTATTGTTCCTCACCCTTAACAGATTTATTCTTTCAGTTTTCTTTTGAGACCACCATCCACCCCAGCCAGCACCGTCCCTTTTCAATTTTTTTCTTCGACCCCTTCTCCTACCCATGAATCCGTACATTTGCAGACTAACGCACTTTCAGTCTGGACGGCGCCTCTGATGTTGCCCTTTGTTGGAAACTTAGATCTTTTTAGAAAAAGAAAGCCAAGAAAACTACTCTTTGTTGTCCAACATTTTCTTCGGCGTGCACTTTGTCTTGTGTGAAAGTGGCGGCTTTTCCCGGAGTCGTTTTAGTCCTAAAGTTCCTCGCAACAGTAGACCCATCCCTAAAGAGAAAAGAAATTTGAGATTATACTTCGGCATTACCAGTTCGTCGTTTATCAATATTGTTTGCCACACTAGGTCATGTATTGTCACTGATTGTTTGTGCTTCAGAGCGCATTATCTGATATGGAGTCATTTCACCTCAAATAGCACACTCACAAAGCATCACTATTTTTTAGCGACTTGAAACTTGTTTACGAGTTGGGGTTGAAAATCGATGACATGTATTATTTTTAACTTTTCTCTCGTATCCCACTCCTTTCAGAAATATTGACATTTTTTTAGAAGAATCGTGCGCACACAATTGTTTAAACTTTTTCACGCATCTTTACATTATTTAAGGTCTAAATTTAATCAAACAATTTGGTGCCATTATTTAAAAAATGTCTTAATAACTTATGTAAAACAAAAAAATTGAAATATTAGTTTCAAATTAAAGGGATGATGTCTGGTATCAATAACTTTTTATTAAGCTTATGATCGTTTCGATCGCATAGCGATCATTCTCAGAGCTAAAATTTGAAATACAAATATTATTTACATGATGTAGGCATTGTTTGCAAGATGCGTAAGCAAACTGGGTTGTACATACCTTGCAGCTTCCGGGCCGAAAAGAGGGTTCTGCGGATTTTTGAGTGTGTGTCTTGTTTAAGAACACAACCGGTCGGCAGCGTGTGGGGGCGGGTGAAGTCGGTCGGCACCCCCGCGTTTTACGACTCTTTTGATTGTAATTTGAGTATAAAATTGGAATTTCTAACATGTGATTTTAAATTTATCTGACATTTCCTGTAACAGCCCTCGCAACTGTTGCCTCCGGCGAAGATAGGCCTACAGCCTTCATGGCGGAGAGACTATTTAATTTAAAATCATGTTAGGAAGTCTAATTGTATATTCTAATTAGTATCAAAATACTAACATCGTTGTATTCCACTTTTTATGATCTATTCATTGTCGATAAGAAAATATATAGATCCATTTAAAAATCAAAGATGATTTCTCGAAAACGAAAAGTATTATGAACAATATCTTCACAGTCTAATACTTGCCCCATGATTCCGTATTTTTGGGCAAAACTGCACTTTGATATCGTGAACCGTTTAGAAGTTATGGGGGTGGCCCATACTTAGTGAGACATCTGTATATATGCGAATGGAAACTTTCCTCTGGAAAAACGAAACGTTTTTCGTCTCACGTGGAATTAGAAAATCTAAATCAATGGAAACTGCCATTTTTCTTTTCTTGAAGATATTGCGTCTTGCAGGAACCAAAATAAAGCACCTTTTGGAGTATTTTTATATCCTTTTCGAAAGGCTAAGGCTTGACTTTCATCTCCGAGGTTCTGGTTTAATTCATCGTAGAATTCCCGTAGAACTTAAAGTGTGATTTGCTACGACAAAACGAATTTGTCTGCTGTACAGGGACTAGTTCAAACACTGTGAAGCATCCTAAACCTTACCCCTATCCTTCCCAATTCGGTAGATGACGCAGGGCGCGTGCAAGACGCGAGCACGTAGATGCTACTTGTCGGCGATTCCCTGACTTGACCGTCACTGACGTTATTACGCTACCCCTAGAGTGAGCTTCTAGTGGAGGATTGCTCCAATTGAAGCCCATAGTGTGCGTTTGACGTCACATAGACTTGAGAACGTTGTCCCAAAACGGTGACGAAATTTAAAAATTAAATTAGAAAAAACTTTTGATTTCATCGACTACAACATATTGCACTCAAAATTACCGTTATATGGAATTCGTGGTATTGTAACTGTTCTACGAAATTGGATAACCTCGTACTTTAAACATAGATCTCAGAGAGTAGAAATATCGTTCTCGCACGAAGGAACATTATTTTATTTCTTTATCTTTCCAAATCTTCGCCGATTGCACATGGGGTCAGGCAAGGTTCGATCTTACGGCCTATCTCACAAGATCTTACTGCTCTTTCTGCCAAACGTATGTAGGTAAATAATATTTCCTTATAGTACATTAAAAATGGAAAAACAGTTGTTTGCAGATGTCACGAATGTTCTTTACAAAAAATAAAAATAAATATTATTTCAGAAGTTTCAAAGTCGTTTTGTAGTAACAAATTAATAGTCAACAACAGAAAACGTTTAAATGCATTTTTGCATTTCAATTTGGCAATCACCTGCTCCATTGAAGTAAATGTTATGCATTTAGCTGATGTTAAGGTAAAAAAAAAATTGAATCACTCAATTCAGTCCAGCCTCAAATAGAATACTTGTATCCCTATAACTGAATTAAACACCGTATTAAGTTCATTATATTATGCATTCTGAATTCTGTCAAATTCTGTCGGCCTTTATGATGCTCATTGCATGCAGTTTATGCATGTACATTCCTGCCTGAGAAAAGGATAAAAAGAATCTGGGGAAGTTCATCCTAGTACTCAAACTTTCAGTTCGCAGTACAAAAATTGAACGATAAGGAAATGCCATCAATGTGATTCCTGCGAGCATCTCTTCATTGGGCTGGGAATTTTACAATTGCCTTGCCTATTCATTTATGAATCTCTATTTTTTATCCAAACGGACTTGCTTAATGGTGGGAACATATTTTCATGCTGTACTGATACCCATTTATAATTACAACATGCATGATAAAAATAATATTTCTCAGATGTCAGTATCAACAGCTCAGTACAAGAATTACACACATAGTACTTGTACATTAATTTACAACACATTGCTATAAGACATTAAAAAATTAAAATCAAAACACAAATTTAAGTTCAAAGTAAAATCTTTTCTTCTGCATAACTTTAAATTCTTAATAAACCTGTAACAAGTAATGCACTTCAGCTTCTGTGTCAATGACTCTGAATATTCATCAAGTTTTGTTCAGCTTCCCCAATCTATTGAGAAAATTTTGAGTTGGCCCCTTGTTTGGATTCTGGACATTAATGTACACCCACAGAGCGAACACATATTTGAGATCTCCTTCTGCTAGTTGCAGTAGAAGTAATGCTATGGGTTTGGGTTACTATTTTATGATAAATAATAACAACTTAATTCTGTAGTTCATTTACCAATGCAAACAATTTTCTGTAACTCAAGAGCGAAAATGTCTATTTTCAAATGTTAAGTAACCTTGCTTTGTTGGTACTTTTATTCAACTATTAATGGTTAAAAGGTTGGAAAGGGGTTTCAGAGCTCACAAAAATGTGCACATAATCCCCCGTAAGTCATCTACAGTGTTTAGTGTTCATTGACAAAATAAATTAAATCAAATCAAAAAATGAGAACTTAAAGACCTGTTTAAATCATCCTTTAATTCTAAGACTTCTCTTTGATGTGGAGGAACTAGAAGTACAAATACCCATGAACTAAAATAGTAAAAATTAAAATCTGGAAAAATATGATTTCAAATGAAGACAATACAACTTAAAATAATTCTATCTAAGGCCCGGATATTTATGACCTAAAAATTTTGAAAAGAAGCATGTATTTACTTAAAATCTGTGAGACTATGACCAAGTAAATTATTTTCTCTACAGTATATCTAATGCATTGTCAATGGAATGTGTAAATTTATATTATAAAGTGTTATATTTAATAATTGTATTGCAACGTAAATAATATATTGTTATACTTAATTTGTATTCAATTATCTTAGCTGCTAGATCAGAGCAGTCAGTTAATTTTCTCTGACATATTCTTCCTTTTCATCCATGTTAATGTGATAACAGCAGTTTTCATTCACTGAATTTGCTCTGCTTTGGAAATGAGAATGAATGCATTGTCTTCCATTCAATCCTTAAAAAGACCTCTACAAAGTACACTTCTTATTTTCTAAAATCAAAGATGTCATATCCATTACCTCCAATACTGAAAATTGTTAGCCAAATTCTGAAGTGAATAGTGACTATTAGAACTGCAAATGATATGCAAATGATTGCAAATTAAGATAAAATATGATCAAAGCTAAGTAAATAAGGGAGTCATGTGATGATAGACCAAAACACGGTATAGTATGAACCATAAAAATATTAAAGTTGAAACAAAGTAGGCTACACTTACAAGTTTAATTTTTTCAGTACAAAGAAGCACAAGAGAAAAAATACAAGTCTCATACATCCAAGTTCTACCCTAAAATTTACCTTATAAGTACTCAACCACAGCATACACAAAAACCAAATTTTTGTTTAATATGCACTAGTAATACAACTTAAGATGTTACTGTAAAAGATGTTTCAATTAATTTTATTTTCAAATACATTTTCTTATAATACATACTTATTTTACATAAGCATCTCTATGCATTTTAAGCAGATAATTAGAATTCCATTTGATAAATTTGTAGTTTCAGCCAAGATCTTCTGGTACATAATCATGTTGAAGGTGAATACGTGAAATAATCTTGACCACAACCGGAATTAGTTTAGACATGATTTAATGATATATTGAATAAAATCATGCTCATATTGTGCTCTCTCAATATTGTGGTCAATATCATTTCATTTGTTAAGCTTCAATTCCATTTAATTTATAAAAATTGTTCAAAATAAATAGTTATTATTGTTTTCCTCTTTATATGTTATGTATTTTATACATTTACTGGTAGTGACTTCATATTATACTACCTGAAAAATTTCTCTCCCACAAAATATTTTGCTAAACTTTAAGGGTTCAAACTACACAGTCTCATATTTACATACTCTTCATTTTAAATACCATAGTAATGTATTCAGATGTAAAAAATGGAAATGAAATTATTCACATATAATGTAATCTACAAAGATATCTCTAGTAATTAATGTACTTGTCACAAATGTTCTTATAATATTATTTTGACACATATGAGTTCTATATTAAATATTGCTCTCTCAATATATTAATGTTTTGCAGATTCAACTGGTATAAACATACTTAATACCGTAAAATCTGTTCAAACCGGAATCGATTGGAACAAAATAGTTCCAGTTTAGGGAGGTTTCAGAGTTGCAGAGTTACCCATTTAACGACACTTGTAACATTGATGTTTCCATTCTGAAACTTGTAAATTAATGTAAGTAAAGAAGTACTTAATGTAAAATAAAAATTATTTGATTTTATTATGATTAATAAAAAAGATTTATACATAACATATTTATGGAGGAGATCACCAATAAATGAAAATTAAACATTATTTTCAGACAGCTTCTGAATTTCCCTTTCTTCCATAAGTTTGACCTTTTCACCTAATGTTAGAGAATGCTAGAGTTTAACGCTTTTCGCGCTGTTAAACTGGTTGTGAAACTCAAAAATGCACACCACCCAACTGCCTCTTGGCTGAAGTCGGTCTACTATGAACTATGATTTTCTGATACCCTTCCATGGCCTTGAGCAATGCGTCTCTAACCGAGGGATTAGATTTTGAACGTGGGGAGGGAGAGGCGCGAATACAGGCAATGCGCGTACACCTTCCCACGCTCGGAGAGGAGGGGGAGGGAATTCCCCTACGACCTACGTCTTGAGAGACAAGTGATCCCAAGGTAAAATTCTGTGCTGTCAGCTGAAGCCCCTCTCATTCACAAAGCGGTTGCCACGAAAAAATAGAGTGGGATAAAGAATTTAAAACAGACTTACATAAGCATTCCAATAAGAATATCTCGCGTCTCTACCAATCGCATTAAATTCGCAGGAATTCGCGTTTTATAAATATTTTCCCCCTATAGTACATGAAAAACAGTTCCGTTTCCGCATTGGACAGATTCCATTTTATGTTGTGTAAAATATCATATAACTTCACGGGTCAGAGGAAGTTTTGTAAAGGCAGATTTCCGGCTTGAACAGGTTCCGGTTTACACTGATTTTACTGTACATTTTTCCTCCTAAAGAAATCATAATTAGTCTTCATCTTAACATGTATTACAAATATTCATGAGATTCAACATCAATGTAAATTATGTTTGATGCAAAGATGAACACTGATTCATGTTGGGGAATTCAGGAACACTTGGTGTATAATGCACCTTCACTTTTTTTCGTTCATACGCCAGTCTTTCTTGAGAAACAAGGGTCTGGATTTTCAGTTGCAGCTCAAGAGCTCTTGTGACCTCCATTGAGTTTAACTGGATGGCCAAACTTCTTGCCCATAAGTCAAACTCTGTTTCAGGGATATCTATTCTAGAATCTAAGAACTGATCAGGGTCATGCATTCTTTGACCTACATAGATTGGTGCGTTGATGGACTTTCGTTTCCTCTCAGTCATTCGATGTGATGAATGGCCACTTTCTTGGTTAAATGAACTATTTTCTAGTTTTTGTGTAAAAGAATGTTCCTCCTCATTCTTATCATACGAATTCGCTTCACCTTCCTGATTTACAATCTCATTTTCCATTCCCTCATTCATTGGATGACCTTCCATGTCTTGTTCAGTAATATCTTGGCCTTCCATACTGCCCCACTGTGAATCGCTGAATTCAACATAATGAACACCTTCTTGGATGTCTGTTTTGATAACGTTTTGTTTTCGAACCTGGAACAGAAACATGAAATATTCTGGAGTTGCTTCTCAAAAAGTGCGATAGAATTTGCTGTGCAAACAAAGGACAGTACCATCAAAATGCGACTTGATATATGACAATTAATTTGAATGGCTCTACACTACTGGTGCAGCAAATAGGTGTCGAGGGAGGTCACCCACCCCCCCAACCAGTAATATTGTACATATTCAAAAATATAGCTTGTACTATTTTTTTATACTAACAAGTCATTCCATATATCACTTGTTAATGTTATAAATACCAACAATAAGATAACAAATAAAACCTGGATTCTAAACCTCCCCCTCCCTTGAGGACAATCCTGGGTTCAACCCTGCTCTAAATATTTTCTGTGATTAGCTTGTCCCTAAAAAATATTTCAATTTGAAGATGATTAATTTTATTACCTAAGAAAACATTGATTACTCCGATATAAAATTATGAAATCTTAGATTTCTAATTCTTGCCCGTTTAAGTAGTAAGTGCAACAAAGAATAACGGTTATACCTCACAATCAAGAGGGGGTGTTCTGTCTTTTTAGAGAAAATATTTTTCTAGAACGATTTAAACCTCTGTAGTTCTAAAATATAACATATCCAAATCCCCATCCAAAAATTGAATGTCTTCCTTCTGTCCCTTTTCCTTATTACAAGCTAATTCAGTTTCTTTTGTACCCACTAGTGGGGCTTTTGTTGTCTATGATGGCATTCCTGCAAAATGAAATTTGAAAATCGCCCTTGTTTTCAAATATCAATTTAATATTATACTGACAATGCATGTGCGGTGTCAGAAGTTTATGAAACTCTCTCTTACGATACAAAAAATTGTCCAGTCTTCATTTGAAACCACCTACAACTTAATTTTATGAGTTATTGAAACGAATTATATAATTATGAAGTAAATGGAGAAATAGTAGCCAGAATTCATGTTTTGTGGGTCATTGATAACGAAAAGTCGCTTGACGTCAAAATGTCTGTCTGTCCGTCTGTGAACAACCCTAGCGGCTAAATCGCTCAGCTGATCTCCAAAACTGATATTCCTTGATCGATCTGGCTGATCTCGCGGCCCCTTGAATAATTTAATTTGTGTGTGTGTGGGGGGGGGGTACTATCGAATAAGCCTCTGGGACATTTTCAAAACTTTCAAAAAAATGGCGCCATCGATATTGATTTCGAAAATATTTAGGGGGATCCGAAAGGAAATTCTTTCTCGCTCCTGAAAAACTTTCTGGATCAGCTGCAGAACTAAATTCCACAGGGGTGAATGCCGAGAGGAGCCGTGGAGGTCATGATCCCCCCAAAACCGACATTATTTTGTAATTTTGTCAACGTGTTAAATAAATATCCACTAATTGATCGACTCCCATTCATGAGTATATCCATTATTTATGTAGATTTTTTTGTAAATCTAAATATAACGTAGGACGACTGACCATAATGACACTTTCCTCCTTACAAAAATTATTTCTGGAAAGTGGAAGCTCAACGGATTTCGGTCCCAGAAGTTGTATAAAAACGTATTATTCTTAGATCCTTACACCAGGCAGTGGTCTTTGTGGCTTATTGTTATAATATACATTTTTACCTTTCGGGACTTGTTCTAGTAAAAATGAAATGTCTATAAGTAAAGGGACTATATAAAAATGGATTTTTGTGTTTTAGGTTGTCGAAAGTTTTGATGCAGATGGTGCATCGTGTGTTAAGAAATCTCGAAGAGAAAATAGTGAAGCAAGTCGTGATATATATTGTAACTGATTTATTTTCATCAAAGAACAATAATATCTGTAAGGGAGAAGTATAATTTGCAAACATTAAATATACAATATTAAGTCAAAATTTTTAAAATTGCTACAGCAATTCAGAAACTAGAAACCTGTGTGGACCTCTCTTCTATTCAAGTCATTAAAAATTGTTTTTGTATTAGGAAAAATTAGAAAATGCAGAATTTGATTTCATATTAGCTCTAGTGCAACTAGAGCTAATGTGACTTCATCTAAAAGTATGCTCTAGTTGCAACTTGTGACGCAGTCAGGTCATTTGCTGATTTCCACATTTTTTAATAACAAAAGGATGAATTTTACAGAGACGAACTAACAAAAATGTTAATTTTTTTCATTTTTTAAAGGCAATAAAACAAAAACTAGTGGTGCTACAGCATACCACTGTCTTACTTTCTCGTTCTACATAGTGTTCTAATATTTTAAATTTTCGAAATTCCCCCACCCTCTTCCCAGTTGGTACCTACCGGCGCCTAAAACATTCATTCGCATTTTTCAATTTCCCAATAGTAGAATTTAATAATAACTTATGAATATTAAAGGAGTGTAAAGCCTGGACCTACATGCAAATTTTCATTGGGAAATTTGGAGCTGCTTTTAACCAAATGTTCGCGAGTTTCTGACAATGCGCAATTTTGAGCTTATTTTCACAGAAAACTTTTGAGTTTTCGAGAAACCTCATAAGAAATCGTTTGAAGCACTTATAGTCATAAATGTAGTAATGTTTAAAAAAAGCCATAATGTTAATATTAACAGTCAGAGATATTTTAAAAAATTATACTTGTGTAGCTTTTGAAAACCCAAAGTAATACATCAAAATGGTGTTTATGACATGTTATTGAGTGCATTTAGCTCTAACCGCGCAAGAAGTTTCGAGAAACAATTTAGAGCTTTTTGTACCAACATTCGTTCGAACGTTTCTGAAAAAGCATAATTTTTCACAAAAAACTTGAATTTTTGAGATAATTCTTAAAAAATACTTTAAAGAACTTGGGCTCACAAATGCAATCATACGTAAAAAACGTCCATTATGTAAACAGATTCGATATAAGACTTTTTTTTTAATTAACAAAATAATCCAAAAATATTGAGCCAGTTCGGAAAAAAAATTGAAAATGACCTTCACCCTTCATCCTGAAAATTAAAACAACAGTTTGAAGTTAAGCAGCCGCGACATCAGCCAAATCGATTGGAAAATACCAATGCTGGTGAAAATTTCTGCCTAAATAACCGATAGCTTTCACAGACGGACAGACTTCCTGCCGTAAATTTTTCGGTATCACGGTCCCACATAACGTGGATTCTGAATACAAAACGTGGATTGTGTGTACACGTGTTAGAGAAGGTAATTTACTTCATTTAAGAACAAGAATTATCCACATTTTCGATATACACCTACAAAACTAATTTTTCGCCGAAAAATCGCCCAATTTTTTTCGCTGTAACATTCATAACGTTCCCTGGTACCAGTACGTATGCAGTATGCGAGAAAGCAATTGTCATAACTCAAATGTGGCGAGACACATTTTGTCGATTTTTACTCTCCATCGTGCATATTTAGCTATTTGATAGTGCTCGGAAATCCAGTCTCTACTTCTAATATAAAAGAAGCTGACAGACTGACACCATCGCAGAAACAAAACTTCTAAACCTACGAACGTTCGACATGAAATGTAGGTCCCGGGGGTCGTTCATAAATTTCGTAAAGCTAAAGAGGGGGCGGTGAGGCGGAGTTACACTGCGTTACATGGGGTAGGGGTATTAGACCTCTGTTACGTAACTTTGTTTGGTATTCTAATTTTCAACATTTGCTGATATAATTGCTTTTATTCACTCACGTACTGAAACAGTAAGATGTTAACAAATTAAATTAAAAAGTATAAATAAATTAAAGAAATGATGTGCCGACCTGGATAGCCGACGTGGCTAGAGCATGTGCCGCAGACTGAAGGGTCGCAATTTCGAGTCCCGCCGTCGGCTTGGTTGTTTATGTCGTGTCATTCATGTATGTGTGTTGTCGCGAAAGGCCTTGTGTGTCTGCTGACCACAGACGAAGGAGCTCGCAAGTGTGTCTAGTGTAAAAGGTTAATATATGTCCCCGTGAGAAACATAGTGGGTATTCGGTGCGGATAGTCGAAATCGATATCCCTTGAAGCTGCAAAAAGCCTCAGGAAGTAAAATAAAAACTACATATAATGTAATTGTTACAATAAATGGAAATATTTTATTATGATTGTTATTATGATTGTTATTATTGATTGAATATTTTAGATTTCAAAGCAAATTTCAAGTAGTGTATTGTAGAATCCAGTTAAATTGGCTTAATTTCTCGCTCATGCATCATCCACGTCGGTGGTTGCACTGCTTGACAGAATTTGTCTCCTTATGCATCTTTCCATCACACCAGCGACGTATCCAGATACAAATTTTGGGAGGGGTAATTAAAAATGTTTTGGTCGAATGTGTCATTACAGATTTTTGCAAAATGTCGCAGGCTTTACTCAGCTCATGGTGTGATACGATTTTATTCGTTTCAATAATTATCCGAAAATATTGCTGCTTGAAAGTTTTGTGACAAGTTAAAATTAAAAGTTTCAGAAAAAAATTAGGGGGTGGGGATTTTCAATCAAAAATTTTCTCCGTTCTTATTGTTATGTGGTCAGCATCACCAATTAACTCTAACTTAAATTATTATATTTTTTAATGCATAACACATATAATATTAATACAAATGATTTTTATTTTTGCTTAATATATTTTTACTTGCTGTAAATGGGGGCGGGATATTCTCACAAGCGTTACGTAATTATTTAGAGGGGGTCAGGAGCGTTTACAAAGGGGAGAGGGAGTATTCAAAATACTCCAAATTTGGGTTCCGTAATTTATGAACGGCCTATGAGCACGATTCATATAACCACTAAGAAATTATTTTTCGAACTTAATCCGCTGAAGGGACAAAAATTATTCTTAACATTTTGGTTTAGTGCAATCCCAAAAGCATTTAGGCGGGCGGGATCGTGTGAGACAAAGCGGAGCAAATGGAGTAGACAGGGAGGATGACGAGCAGGGTTGGTCAGCAATGCTCGATACGGTCGCGACCATGCGACATCTAGCAGCAAGACCGAGAAAGACGCGAAATACCGTGAGATATTCCACCGTGAAGACAGGCCTTCACGTGTCAAGAAATAAAAACTCAAGTAAAAATATGTATTCTTATACATTCAATCTCAATTTCAGAATTAATTTTGTAACTTGAATAATTTATTTCGTAATTTTTATCGTACTCTTTTGTGAATACACGTTTAAATTAAAATGTTCACTTCAAACAATCTCTATTATACTTCGTCTGACATTTTTCACGCGAGCCTTTTCGAACATTCCATCCAACCCGAATTTCCTTTTTGATTCTGACAATACTTAGTTGAAATGAAGTTGGTGGCCCTGCTCAAAGACAATTCCAAAGTCATCGGTACATAGTTATATTTTTTAATACATACAATAAGTACCCTTAAGGCGCACTCATCTATCCAAATATTACTGTCGTAAATAAGCTGTGGATAGTTTTACCTTCCTTTTTGTTCATTATCACCCACAAGTTCACACTCACATACGCCTACTATATTTTGGTAGAAACATTTGATGCAAACTAAGTAGTAGGCCTACATCCCCTAATTTTTTCTCCACCTTCGTATCCCTTTTCATCTTCATCCCCTACCTTTATGTCGCCCATTTTTCTCTTATCCAGAACTTAAGTCAGTTCCAAAGAAAATCATGTATTTTTAATTCAAACTCTCTTCACCTCGAAATTTTTACATCAAAAAATTAATTCACTCCCTTGTCGTTCACACCTTCCCATTTCCACCCTCTAATTATCGCATGCATATTTTCTTTTGCTTTATATTTTACACATATTCATACTTACCGAAGGGTCAGCGTTAGAAGACATTATAACGAAGGGCCGCAAGAACTCGTCCATTGTTGAGAACCACACTAATGTAGGCTTGTATATTTGACTAGGAGAGGTAGCCGTGGCGGTAGTATTACGAATTTTAGCCAGTTCTTGACAGTAATGAGTTCGAAGATTCTTGATTTTGTATCTACACTCATTTATTCCGAAATCCTTCATATTCATCACACTCGCTATTCTCTTCAAGGCATCTACTCTTGCTGCTTTGCTTTTGTAATTTTCGTGCGTTGCATCCCACAAAACGGGTTCATTTTTATACAAATTAACAAATCGCATTACAGCCCCATCGCTCCATCTATATCGCGGAAACATAGCAGCGCTAGTTTTTTTCAAAACAATGCGACCTTGAAACGAAATTTTCGGTACTCGCAAGTTTTCACGACCAAACTGTGACGATTCCCACTCGGTCAAGATAACAGCCGTGAAAGAGATGGCGAGAGGTGGCGCACTTGAAATGCACGTTCTTCAAGTTGCTTCTGAGGGAAGAGAAAACGGTCGTGTATTGTGACGAGTCTTGCCGGAAACGAGACTCACTGGTGGGCTCGCGGGAACTAGCTGTTTAGTTGAAGAAAGATTATGTTCACTCATTGTAATATTAGTATTTTTCGGTAAAATTTCTGTAGATATTCAATTATGTTCTGATATAATTACTGATCTGTTTCAAAGTGTAAGGTGGAATATCTGCGGAAGTTATCTTTGGCGATATATGCAAAATTAATGAGGAAAGTGTTGTATACGTTGTATAGAAATTGTGATTGTTGTTCTGGTTCTGTTCAACAATTTTACCGTGTTAATAACGAATTATGGTTATACTTATGTATGTAAAGCGCTTGATTATTCTCTCATTGTGTAATTATATAGATACATGTATGATAGATGAATTGTCATGTGAACAATGAGGTTATAGATTCCAGGTATAGGCCGGTCGCCGTCGGAAATACGCAGCAATGTGCCTCATCCAATCAAAATTAAGTCCCGGAGAGAATGTTCACGTATTTTAAGTTTCTAAAGGACGTAATAATAAGATGAGTATCCGCTTCAGGCAGAATTTCTTCCCATAATAATGCTTATTGTCCCCCAGAGGTATGCAGTGGTAAACTTCTTGTGAGATGAAGGTCCACTTTGCTCTTCTCGAATAAAATAACTAATTTTCACGTATAATTTATAATTCAGTGCAGGTTTATCATTTTGTTGTATGTGAAAGTGTGCGGGGGAATCCAGTAATTAGTTTGGAAACAGTGGGAGTAATGTGAAGTATTTTTGGCAGTTCGACTGACTAGTCGCAGAAACATAAGAAGAAAGTTTTCAACATTTGAATTTCTGTTGAAAATTGGTCCTGTTTGGTGTCTGGCAGTTCAAAAAGTTGACACGTTCCACAGTTGTGTTTTTCTAAGTTTAATAAAGTTGATCATTATATTATATTTCATTGTTGATGGTAATATGCAGTAAATTTGTTTATAAAAAAAGTGGAACTGTGTTTGTCAGAGAAATCTCTAATTAATTCAGTTAAGACTAGCAAAAACATTACATGCAGAATGTTTATAAAATAAGGCAACTTCAGAATCCATATCTATATACTTGATACTACACTTGATGTTCCTGATTGTCAGTTAAATTATGTGTTTAGTGAAGGATGAGTAAATTTAGGCAGTTTTTAAATAATCAAGTTATGATGCATGTGGCTTGAATTGCTCTTCAGGAATGCAGAAAACCTCAAGTATTTGATGTTAACTTATGGTGCATCCTTTGGCACTGTGCTTCTGAATTTAAGAAGTTCTGGCAATGTTCTTTTGCTCTGTGCCATGTTTCATTTTAATGTGAATGCCATTGAGAAGCATATAGAAGTGAAAAAAATTGGCAAGTGTGATTTATTTGTGTCATCAACTCGTAATTATTTCAAAGATACTGGAGTAAAAATATCTATTTAATATCATCAATATTATACGTTAGTGCAGTACATATCATGTTTTCACATACCTATATTTTTTCCCAATATGTGACATGTCCAAATATTATTTTTCAAAAATAGCACAAAGAAAAATTTTTTATGCTGTGGTTATTTTTAACAAATACCATCACTGAATATTTTCAAATTCTACTCGCAAATGAAAAATAGTAATTGAACTGAATATCACCTGTTTTTAAATAAAACATACACAATAGAAACCATGTTTTATTATTAACAGAAATATTACATTATGCCTCAAACTCTCTTTGTGAACTTTCATTCATCATCGCCATCATTATCATCATCATCATGTAATGAATAGTTAAGACCAAAATGAGTTCTTCCTGCTTAGTGACTAGGGAGTTGTGTATGATACACAGGATCAATAAGAGGTAGGAGGCTCAGTATATCTGGCTTCTTGGCACTATTTATTTGTAGAAATCCACTGCATGTCAATGAAATCTATGAGCACTAATTGGGCAACCTTTAGTCCCTCGTGTCAGATCATGCTGTCTGACTGGTTCCTCATTGGACAAGGAACATTTAAAAATTTATTACTACAAAATTTGAATTGTTAACTATATTATATTATTTTGATTTGCATTTCTTTCGCCGTACAGTACTTGAATCTGAATCAGAATGACTAGAGTTATAATCCTCTGAATTGTATTCAAATCTCAGTTTTTCAGGTTCTGATACATACTGGCTATCTTTGCCATCTGGAACATTATTGATAACCTCAATCTTAAGAAAATGAAATGAGCAATAATTTAATGTTTAAAAAAATTTATAATGATTAAAGCTTATTAACTTACCTATTTATTTGAGATATATGAGTTCATAAGGCCAACTGTATAATCTTTTCTGTTCTGCTTTTAAACGTTTTAATAGATTATTCAAAAACTAAACTTCCTGCTTAAAATCCAGGACAAATAATATATGAAAATCATTGATGCATACATTTTAAACAATATTACCATTAGTGCAATAATAAAAATGTGATAATTTGAAAACCTGCCAACTTCTGCTATTTAAAAAAATTAAACGCTTGGACAAAATATCAGTTGACACTGACAATATTCAAAATACTAAAGATAGACATGCTGTTTTGTACCAAATGAGGATTCAAAGTAGTATGTGTCAATCAAAAATTCAATGTTACAATTTTTTAACATGTCATCTGTGGCCCGAAAACAACAAAATAATGTCATGACAAAAGAGAATATTGTGCTCAATAAATTAATTTAGTATAGAGTTTCTTCCTTTAAAGAAGGAATTGAGTAAGCAACCCTAATATTTGCTATAATCTGCATATTATCCAAAACTTGCTCCATCTAGCAAAGCAAAAGTTATTCAATCTTTCTTAGTCAGATCTCTTCCATAATTGTTTTTAAATGATTATTTAAGTATTTCAGGTGTACAACTTGGCACCTAAAACCTGCAAATAATTCATTATCTTATTTTCAATTTCAGTACAAGGATTAATTTTAATAATTGTTGAAAGATTATGACATTGGGCTAATGAATACAACAAAAGTCTTTTATAAAACAATGATTAAAAAAACACAATTTTTCAAATCTTATATTCCTAGAGAGAATTAGCCAATACTTATGCATATAGATTTACAAACTAGTTTTATCTGTTTCTCAAATTTAAAAATCTATCCACACATTATTTACATTATTGTTGTTTGTAAAACTGCTTAAGTACATGCAATTTCATATTTTTTTGGAATGGCAGTATCTTGAAAATGTTCCAATGCAAACTATTGAATCAGTGACATAAAACTTATTGCATATATTGGATATTCTAGATATTTGTAGTATTTAGATGTGTTTATTGCACATTTTCAATTTTTTGGCCCAAACAACATTTATTTTTAAGTAAAAATTATTAGTTAATGCATAGCATAAAGTTTCGTGGTTCTTGCCAGTGTATACTGAATCTTTAGATGAACTGATAGCTATTGTAAAATTGATATATAAATATACAGTGTCTTCAGCTTAACTCGCAAACCAGGTCTGGAAACACCACCTCTCGTTTTGGCAGTTAAGCAATGCATGAAATACCTTTGGAGTCCCTTTCACTTTTAGCGACCCATGGCCACGTGCCCTCAGATTTTGGAGTGAGAAAATGTGGATAATTTTAGTTGGAAGAAAGAGAAACCACTTATTCTGACCTTGTTAGGATTCAACATACAGAAGCCTCTACATTGAAAAGAGTAAACGCAGGGGCGGATCTAGAGGCAAATTTTAGGAGGGGAAATTTAAAATATTTTGGTTGAATGTATCATATTACAGATTTTGTAATTGTCGCAGACATTTCACACTCAGCTTGTGAGAAACAATTTTATTAGTTCGAATGATTATCAGAAAATATTTTTGCTTGAAAGTTTTGTGACAAGTTAAAAGTAATAGTTACTGAAAAAAAATTTAGGGGGAGGGGAATTTCCCTCATTTACCTCCCCGTAGATTTGTGCCTGGTAAACGCCTGTCTCGTGGTAAAGGCAAATGGTGGTCACTTTGATTGTTTACTCGAAAGTCAGTTTTTTGTCATTTTAAGGAAATTTTATTTTTCTATTTTTTATAAATTATTTTCAATAATTATTAATTTGCTACTTATTTATGTTTTATTGGTAATTTTAATAATTTTATTAAGACTTTATTTGCTTAATAATCAGAATCCATAAAAATAATAGTACATTATTGTTGTTATAAATAATAAAGAGCTTGGCTGTAATGTTTCACATGATATCTTTCTAATTTCTCTCTGAACTGGCTTTCATTAAATAATAATTATTATGTTGGTGTTAATAAATCAATAAACATATTTAAGCATATTTTGTCTAATAAATTACTTTGATATTCTGAATGTCAGAGCCAAAATTAACACTCCAAAGTTGGTTTGAAAATATGCTTTCTAGGCAAAAATATGCTTAAATTTTATTAATTTTTTGGCCTCCTAATAGAACTGAAATATTTTAAGAATATTAAAGAACAGAACCTTGTCCTAAATGGCAATTTCCTTTGAGAAACTGTGAGTGATTTTTAAGAAATGCCATTTAAGCGCTACTGTGAAGACGAAATTTGAACCTCTTTTCACGGAAAACTATTGGGTTTTCGAAAATTTCATATGCCGTCTTTTCACGCCCATCTAGTCACAAATGCAGTAATGTCTACAAATCGCAGAATATGTGCATACTAAAGGCGTGAGAAATCTCAAAAAAAATACTTTTGTGAAAATTTTGAAAAAAATGAATACTCCAAAATTAATTATATGTTATCTTAAACAGTGCAATCAGCACTATCTTCTGGAAACCTTTGAAGAAAAAATTAGGAGCCGTTTTTGAAAAAAATGGCGTTTGAGCGTTTCTGAAAGTGCTAATCTCAAAGTTTAATTTCAAAACGTCCGTCTGGGAACACCAATAGCACCTAAACCATCGTAGGATATTTTTCCAAATTGAAGAAACCACTGTCCATCTGGCTCGAGTCGAAGCTTTGAGATTTTGAGAAAAAAGTCTTTAAAATTTGGGAGTACTTTATATGAACGTTAAAAACTTTCTCAAAAACGGCTTCAATTTTTTTTTCTTTAAAAAATCTTGTGAGAATAGAGTAATATAACCTTATAAATGTGACAGGTTCGATTTTTACGGTTAACTCTAAATTTTCAAAAATTGCAAAAGTTTGAAATACTTTGGACGATTTTTTTACAACTACAAATTTAAAAATAGAGATTTTTCCTTTGAATAAAATTTGTTATCCAGACTGAGTTCTTTCATTAAGGTCGTGTACATTTTTTTGAAAGTTTTAGTAGTTCTCGTGCATTATTGCGAGCAATATGTGCAATTTTAAAAATTACAAAAACAACATTTTCTGGAAAACGGCTCCAAATTTATTTTTTTTAAATTTTTGATAGTGAGAGCTGCCGACAATGGGCACCATTTTCTTATCAATTCTTGCTAAAAGCGCCATTTTTGCCATACATAACTTTTCAGTTTGCATTGTAGTTTTATGAATGTTCTTCTAAGGCGTTCTTTATGGAACACTTGCTTGTTTCGAATACATACAATTATTTTTTGCCATTTCTCCATGATATTTTCAGTCTATTCTTTAATGTTTTATTTTCTTTCAAATGAAGACTTACAACCTAATAAAACCATTGTTAGTCTCTTCATAATTCATTAAGAATTTAAACAGTTATGTCCAGCAGAGCAGTAAAGCAGAGAGTCCGCTAAAATTTATCATCGTTTCATCTTTGCTGCCAGGTTTATCCGTAAAAGTAAAATAAGTAATTAGGTAAAATTAAATTAATTATTTTTCATATCATTTTTTTGTGGCCCATAGTTCGTGTGAAACTTGGATTTCATTAATCTCAACCAGGAATAACACAAAAATGACTTTCTTTTTATTTAAAAAAATGTTCGTGGTCTTTAAAGAGCTACTTTTGTACAACAGTTTGTGAGGAACAAAAATCTCTACCTTCAATTTTGAAGTTTAATTTTTTTACTACTTTTGAAAAATCGGGGATGTCAATGAAAATTAGACTTGCACGATTCTTTTAAACGTCCTTTGCACTCAACAACAAAATTTAATAAAAAAATGTCGAGCCTCTTTCGAAAATATCCCCGGGTCTTCATGTAAAGTATTACAAAATTAAAATTTCGATGTCAAATTCCAGGGTCAGCGACATCAGCTAGAACAATTGGGGAATATCAATTTTGAAGAAAATCGGCAGAACCGTTTATGCGCTAGCGTTATGCCAAGACGGACTGACAGACGTTTTACGGTCAATTGATTTTTCGGTATCAAGGACCCACAAAATGGATTCTGGCTACATAAAGGGTTAGAGAATTTTTTTCTTTGTGTAGCAACTGGATTTATACACTTTTTCCTTACCCGGTCCCGGCAATAGTTTTTGTGTAGAAAATTCGCTGATTTTACGGCGCATTATGAAAATGTTTTCTCTCCTTACGTTCAAAGTGCGAAAAAGTGAAAACGGCGCATTTTCGGCAGAAAAAAAATTCATTGCCGGACCCTGGTAACGAAAAAGTGGATAAATCTAGTTGCTACGTTAAGGAGGAAAATCCTTTTAACTCGTGTAGCCAGAATCCCTGTTATGTGGGTCCCGCGTACAGAAAAATCAATTGACGGCAAAACGTCCGTACGTCTATGAACACCAGTAGAGCCTAAACCATTCATAGGACTTTTTCCAAAATGGATACGATTGCCTGGTCGATCGGCTCTAGTAGAAGTTTTGATTTTGAACAACATTCTTTAAAATTTTGGGGTACTTTACATGTCACCATTTACAGTCATTCATAAGATTTTATTTAAATTCCTTGAGTGAAGTAAAATACAATTATAAAGGTGGCACAAGTCCGATTTTCACGGTTTACTCTGGTTTTTAGAAAATTACAAAAAGTTTGTGGCGCCTTCCTACAACTATAATATTAAGGATGGAGATTTCCCCCTGAAATACATTTTCCTTGACAGATCTTGATATAAGGTCATGTTCAACTTTTCAAAAATATGAATAGTTTTCGTGTAGTTTTGCTCGAAATATTGTTGTTTTTTTCAGATACCACTCCAATTTTGTCTTTAAATTTTCTCTACATATGTAATATGAGACTAAAGAATATGGTGCAAGTCCCATTTTCGGGCATTGCACGTTTTTTTCAAAACTTACAAAAACAATTTCAAAACTACAAAATTGAAGATGGAGATATTTGTTCCAGTCAAAGTCAGTTTAAAAAGGATTTCTGCTTAATTAATTCTGCAAAAATTAATTAAATATATAGGTGTCCCACTAACTACGGGCCACGAGAAAAATGGATCCAAATAATGTGATTAATTAAACTTCAATTATAATTTACTATTGAAAATGCCAATATTTTTAAATCTATTTTACTCTAATCTATAATTTGTATTTGGTGTATTTCTTTCAAGCAATCCCAAAGCTTAGTTGAACTTTACGGAACATTGCCGCAATGGATATATGAGAAACTCATTATCGTTGAACGTCGAGATGGTGGTGGTGAGAAGATGAAGCTGTTTTATTTCGTCATAATTACCTATATTTTTTGTGCGTGTTGCGAGGTATAGATCATGAGATCATGTATTTTCACTGAACGAAAAGTCACTTATCAAAAACTTAAAAATTCATTTTATATTTATACAAAGACGTTGGTTTTTCACAGCTATGGGACGCTGAAGGATTCATTTTACTATTTTAAATGTTTATTATATTTTATGAGTTTCACTATAGACACTAGTTTATAAAAATGTAGAAATAAAATACAAAACGTATGCGCAAGTACCTCTGAATCAAAGAACTATTTAAATATCAAAAAGAAAATAATTAGTAAACAAATATTCACAATAAAAAACTACCCAATAGATATAAATTATAAAAATTAAAATATTCTACTCCTCGCATCAAACAAAAAAGACGCAGTATTATTATGAAACATGACTAATAAAACATTTGTCAGCTTACACATGTGCTTTACAAGGTTGTTCGCTGTATGACTTACAAAATTTTTAAATTAAAAACGTCATTACTTCTCGAGTTGAAAGGTGACTTACAGAGAAGCATGTCAGAGATAAACGTACAATTCAAATCACATCTAAAGCGCAAAAGACGTAATTTAATTAGTTTATTAGAATTAGAGTTGGTTATTTATCCACTGTGTATGATGTACTGTGTGCTATGACTAACCCATAAACAAGTTGTAATCTTAATACAGATTGAAATTTGCGTTATTGCCAAGAATTAATAAGAACATATTTTACAAGCATATATGCCAAAAGAATTGCACATAGTTTTGACAACGCTGCGCTGACAACAGTGCATTCCTCGCTTCTGTATAATTTGCTGCGAATACTGTCAAATTTATTCAGGTTGGTTTCATTTGTCAGAGTAAGAATGATAGCTGCTCCTGCGTATCTGAATGAATGCACATATGCATCAAAGGCGCTTTCATTGAATTGAACAATAACCGAGGTTAATAGCGCATAAAATATGTCAATATCATATAGCTGTTTCTAATAACGGGAGAAAGTATGTGTTTAGCACCGCTAGTATAAGTAAACATGACACTGCCTTTATTGAAACGGGTGTACGTAGGTACTGTGGGTATACTTGAGTTTTTATTTTTTGGCACGTGAGAGCTTATTTTCACGATGGAATATCTCACAGCATTTCACATCTTTCTCGGTCGTGCCTCTAGGTGTTACTTGATCGTGACCGCATCGAGTTGTGTTGGCGATCATTCGACATTCAGCGTCACATCCGAGAAAGACGTGAAATTCCGTGAGATATTTCATCGTGAATATGGTCCCTCACGTGCCAAGCAATAAAAATTAAAGTATAATTGCGCGCCAAAGCAGTGAGACCAACACAAGGGTTTGAAAGGAAGTATCGGATGCGACCAAAGAATACTATGTATTACTCACGCAAGTTTTCTTGATACACGGGCTCCCTAGTCCTCATTCAACACTGAATAGGGCGGCACGTTGAGATACTTGGTTTTTATTTCTTGGAACCTAAGGACTTGGAACGGCCATACCAATTCACAATGCTGGCAACAACCACCTCGTACTAATCATAGCATTTCTCGTGACATGTTTTGGCGAGGGAAGTTCATGCCCACATTTGGTACGCCCTTTTCAGCCGTGACGTAGCCAGAGTTCTCCTCTCCTGGTATGGTATACCTAGAAAACTTGCGCGTGTAGTATAGCGCCTCTGTCTGTGGTTGGGACGGCAGTGCTTAGCAGTGCCTTTTCTCTTGTTAAGTTACTCACTCTGCTGGTACTTTTTGGCGTGGTCCGCGCATGGCCGGTAGCTGCTGGGACAAGCAGGGAATGAGTTAGTTGTCAGGGTGGTTTTATCCAGGTCACTTGGTCATCTGAGTTGTTTTACTCCACAATTTTTGACAGCTCTTTTAATACTATAGACTAATCCTCTTTGCCAGTTCGATACGTATGTGAAGTATGCATTGAGAACGCTGTGAGATCAAATGTAGGGCAGAGAAAACACAAAGAATATATTTTGCCATAGTGTTGGATTTGAGGTTCTCTACTTCAGATCGTCACTTGACATTTGCCTTGCCAGTTACCAATTATTTAAAAATTACTTTTTTCCTATTAAAAATATTTAATATAATTATAAAAGTTCCATATACTACATTCATGATTAATATGTAGCTTCATAAACGTTTGTAAATAAAATTGTGTGATGTAATTTTTTTCTCTCTTTTTTTTTTCTTCTTTTTTTCCTTGTTTGCTATTATTATTTCACAGTATTGAGGAAGCGATGGAAGATACTTCAGGATTTCAACGCAATTTGGTATGCATTCAGTATCCAGGAATAGTTGTAAATGAGTCTAATATGCTGCGAACTTTAGGAGGAATACAAAATATATCTACTGTAAGTAAAAATTGTATACTTTTTCCCAAGATATAGAAGGAAATAATGGAGAGATTTATTAGTCATTAAAAAATTAATAGGCTTATTGCGAGAAGAATCGACGTCTTGAATTGAGATTTCGTCCTGATGATGTGTACTGCAAACCTACATGTGGAGAAAAACATAACAAATTGTCATTGCTAGTAAAAGTCAAAATAAGAAGAAAAAAACACTCCTCAATTTCTTCAGAACCAACTACTTCATCATCTGCATCCGATATTATAAGTGCAGAACTCTCAGTACTTGGTAAAGTGACTACTACATTTACATTTAAAAGTAAGTTTGGGTTTTAATTTTCATAATTATTTATACCATTAATGTATGTTCCAAAGCATTTCTTAAACATTCTGATCTGGTAAAAGTTGTAAGTCTGTTCAACCAACAGGTTTAAAGAATTGCAGTTCTCACCAAGGCACTAAAATCGCAAAATTCAATACCATATGATCATACATGTTCCTAAAACCAGTGAAATCCTCAAAATAATTAGTAAACTATAAAACTAAATCTTAGACTAGCTTAGATGAATTTCTGGGTGGTTTACTAAATATATAATAAATGCTCCTGCTTTAATACACTCATTAACTCGCATTTTCAATGCTTCTTTATACACAATATTATGAGATATTTACGAATTAGCAAAAATTAAGCCATCGTTTTAAGCAGCAAACATGAAAATTGGAAATTATTGAGGAATTTCTCTTTTCTAAGTTTTACTAAAATAAGGAAGACTTCTATATACAAATGAAAACTATTTTCAGGAAAATCAAAGCATTTTCAGACTGTGTGTGGTCTTTGATAATTGAAATCTATGGAAAAAGCCAATTTTCCTCTTATTTAAGATATTGTTTCTTCAGTAGATCAAAATGAATTGGGTTATTTCTAAATTTTTCAGAAATTTTTGACCTCGCATAAAATTTTATTTTCAAAATTAACATCATATGAAATTTGTAGTATTGCCCTTGATTGGATATCCTTGTATCTCAAATATCGCTTGCAAAGAACAGAAATACTCTACTTGCTCAAAAGAACATTATTTACTTCTCTTTCCAATACTTTGCCAATTCAGCATGGAATCCTGCAGGGTCTTTGGCCTTATATACGTTCTTTTATACGTAAATGGCTTTGTCCATTAGAAATAGAAGAACAGTTCAGTTCGGTTTGCAAGTTCCCTTTGTAGAGAGGAAACAATATGTAGTACGATTTCAGCTGTTTCAAACTTGTTTCATGATAACCAATTAATTGTTAAAAAAGGAAAAACTGTTTCAATGCTGTTTTGCATTTTGAACTCCACACAATCACATGCGCCATTGAAAATGAAGAATATGCAATTGGCTGATATTAGATCACATTATTTCTTGGTCTATCAATTCAGTAAAACCTGCAATAGAATATCCATAAAAACGAATTGAACACCTAATTAAGTCATTATTTATTTATTTACGCCAATCGGCTTTATCCATTTCTGTTATAATACAATTTGCAGTTATAATATATTAATTAATTGCACACTGAATGAATACAGTAATCTGTAGAAATACAATACTTTATCTATCAAATTTAATGTTTTTCACCTTTGATAAAAATGTAGATGTAGAATTATGTTATCTATTCAGATTACTTTCAAATTCAGTCACCCTTTCTGCAGCTCATTGCATGTATTTTGCAAATGTACGTTCCCAACTGAGATATGTCATATTCTGGAGAAGCACTGAACTAGAATCTTACCATTGTTTTGTTCATTTATTTATGTATCTGTATTTTTTTGTCAAACTGACTTAACAGTAGCAATATATTGCGTTACAGATATTTATACAACTCATGTTTGAGGAATCATTTATTCATCAGGTTTTTACTATCAGCAGCTGACTAAAAGAAATCTACATACATGTAAATTACTTACAAACACTGCTTGATGACATCAGACAATTAAAGTCAATAACCAAGTTAAGGTGACTAGTAAAAGATTCTCTGCTGCATTATTTTGTATGCCTTTGGAGACCATACTGGCCATCATAAAGGAAAATAACAATAATTTTGACAATGATGTGTAATGCAGTAGTTTACATTTATACAAGACTAATATGCCTGTAACAAGGAATATACTTCATCTACTGAGTCGGTGACCCCCACCATGATAAGATTTTCATTCAAAGAGCAAATGTGAAATAGCCGTTTGTTATAAGTTGTGATTGGAGTACAGCTGGGGGTGTAAGATGCTATTTTGTTAACAAAACAATTAAATTCTAGTTTGTTTACTGATCCTTTTGTATTCATCATATTAACTACAAAGTAAAAGCGTTAGGAAGATATTCTAAAGCTCAAGAAAATGGGTGCAAATTTATACTTCTATCATATATCACACACCCATTTTTAATGCATTTTGATGAAAAATATATTGTAGTTATCATAACTGGATTAACCAAAGCCATATTGAAATAATTTAATTATTTTTAGATTTAATATTTAGGTTCTATTGAAAGATTTTTCAAAAAATGAAAGGTATACATGTTGTAATAAATAGTTTGTGATTGTGTAGAGTGAAAGGATACTGCCCTTAAGAATCAACCCTAAATTGTCAGAATGTGGTTTAATGTAATTGTTTCTAGTTGTATTAATAAATGCTGAAAGACGCATAATTTTTTCTAGTTGTATTAATAAGTGCTGAAAGATGCACAATATGCCTAGGTGTGATAAGAATGAGTATGGATGAAGTTGAGCCATTTAAAAGTCTTAATCAGTGTAATTTGCTATTGTAGTTAAAGAGGAAAGGTTCAATGTTGTATGTGAGGTACTTAGTGCCCATTTATTGTGACAATGATAAATGAATTGCCTTCCTGTGTGTGAAAAATACTTTTTCCAAAGATTCTGAACATTACCACTGAAAATTAGTTTTTGTTATGTTTTTATAGTAATCGTAATATTTTTTTAACTAAAAGTTTCTGCCTAGTTGCGTTTTGTTACACTTCCATTAAACTAAAATTTGTTGCTAAGAAAATTTTCTGTATTATAAACAGGTTTATTTCTATTTGTTTTTCTAAAATTTTGATATTACATTATTTATTAATCTATTTACATATTTGACATGCTCATACAGTTTAAGTAATACTAAAATTATGCTTTATATGAATGTGATGTAGTTCATACTATTTTTTAATTGATTTTGTCTAGAGGTCACATATTGTTGTACATGTTTTAATTTGTAAAATCAAATTTAGTGGTGAAAGTATGACAAATTTGAGATGGTCCATATGGGTGCAGTTGACATGTTTGTGAAATATTGAGCTAGTCAGTAGAGTTAGAAAATGCTAATTTAAGTACAAATTATTTATTTTGATGATATGACTTTCCCAATTGCACTAACAAGACAATGTTCCTAGGGTAACATGCAAAATCCTAATTAATGCAGATTTGTGCACTCCTCAGTTATGGATTTCTACAGTGTTATGATGCCAAAGTGCATCTTTATGAAGAGTAGGGTACAAGTGACGGTTGTTGTTTTTTTGTTTGCCCAGGCTATTTTTCAGGAAGCTGTAAATGATATTGAAATTTGTATGCTCTATGTATATATAGAATTTTTTATTGCATAAATAAATGGAAATTTACTTCTTATTATATTGTGAGACATGTTAATTGTACATATTATTTTGTACATTTTTCTGCTCTTTCTCTTGCACACTTGGTATTCTTCTTTTCAGATTTGTGTGACTTCCAATACCTCCCTATAGGAAGAGATGCTTCTGGAACAATGCAGAATATTTATGACTCTCTTGTCCCTAACGGCATTCCCTCATCAGATTGGCTGAAGCAGAGAGCCATGCTCTTTCTACCTCCCGCAGTATTCTCACGCATGGACTCCATGCAGGTATGGATTAACTCAGTTCATACAATTCCTGATTGTTTTGTTGCTATATCTTATTTTACTTTTGTGTGTACTTAGGGAGAGAGACTTTAATTGGATAAAAAGTGCTGTCAAAATTTTGTCTAATTGTGTTTTCTATAGAAAGTTCTTTTCTTGAAAATTTTAAATTACGAAAGGAAAAGTTACTGCACTCTACCTGTATAACAGGTAATTGAATTCTGCTGTAGGTAGATACCTATAAAACAGTAACATTAGCATATCCATAACTAGTGGTGCTACAACAGCATGTACAGTACTTTATCTTGTTATTGGGAATGGTTGTGTAACATAACATGCAATTTTTGCCTTCCTAATATTTTGGCCAGTGGAAGATTAATACACAATGGGACCCTAGGCGATTACTGAGAGAGGCACCCCCCCCCCTCCTTGTTTTCCTTGGTCATCCCTCTCTTTCACATATATACAATAATTAATATTCAGATAAAATTTAGTAATATTTAAATTGTGTTTACAATTAAAGATACAAAATGAGATTCAGAAATACTTTCTCCTACATTAGGAGGAACACTGAACTTCTTAGCATCAGTAAAATCAAGTTTGCTTAAAATACTAGATTCGATGAAGAAGATAACATATCTAGTCTTTCTGCTGCATAGTAGCTCTTCAACTGGTTTGATACGTTTTAAATCCAAAAAAGAGCATTCTGCAGAACATTTCATTATCATTGTCAAGAAAATTTGAAGAGCTGTATTTACATTGAGAGATACATTTGCTCTTCTACATCTGTGCTACACCTGGGCTTCATTGTTGCTGAGCATTGTTGTGTGACAGAGGGCGAGGTCAAGATGGTCAAGAGATCGCTCACACAGACAGACTGAGTCAAGGATAGAGAGAGATAGAGGGAAAAGTGCGAGGGAAGGAGAAAGAGGGAGATGAAGAGCAGAACAATGTCTGCCAGGTTCTGCTAGTCATATATAAATGACAATGTGATCTTGATGAAACTTTAAATTGGAACTGTTTCAGTTCGGATAAATGTATTTTAAATCATTGGCAGAAGCACATACCAATTTTTCCAATTGCCTTTTATTACATTGGTTAATCCACCATGGACTTTGGCCATCTGTTGAAAAGTTCCAAACCAATTCAAATGAACCGCCTGTGTTACATATCTGTAATTATTTTGATAGCCAGGAACAGTAGTAATTTTTTTAATTCTACTAAATAATCAAACATGAATAAATATAAATGTTGTAGTATTTGCAGTATTTCATTCCGACAAGACAGATAATTTCACAAGCTTCCCTTGATTTCTTCAAAGTGAACTTGATGAAATTTCCAATGATGATGATGAACCTCTAATTTTTGAATGATTAACAGTGATAATCAGTGATGAAACCTTTTAAAGGAAAAGAAGCCTATAAACTTAAACATCCAGAGTTGATGGCCAACCAATGGATGCTTGAAAATAGGGGTAAATATGTATTGCTTTTTATAATGTTATATCTGAAACACTAGAGAAACATTTGTATGAAGTTTTTTTTAAGAAAAAATATCACAAATTCAACATTTCAGCATTATTTGACTTTTAACACTAGTACTAAAAATTGAACTTTTAGCAAGCTGTTCATGCTGTGGGGAAAAAAGAATGAAAAAAAAGAAGGAAAAAAACACTTTTATTATTAACCTACTGTTTTTATTTTTTGCAAAAATTTATTACTTTCTCATTGATTCATATTCGTAGTTTTTTAATAAAAATCCATGTATGTGCGTTTCACAAAAATACAAAAAGCACTGCTTTCAAAGTTGCTTAATTAAAATGTTTATCATGGCTAGCAGAAACATTTTGGTACTAAGCAGTGAAATATGTTTTTGAAGATAATGATGATAAAAAAAAATGTATTTATTACTTTGTGAAATATTTTGTTTATGGTACAGTGCATCTTAAGATATTTCTCATTGTGTTCAACAAAATTACCCAAAATTACTAGTACTTAAATTATTTTGATAATTATCACATTACTATATTATTATAATTATCATATTGCTACTTTTACATCATGGCTACAATACTTCTTTTCCAACATTCCTTGTAAATTAGTTTTTGCAAACATGTTAATAATTACATTTAGGTATGATTTCAAAAAAAATAAAAATATTGTTCTTTTGAACATTAAGGTTTTACATAAAATAGTGTATCATTTCTTAAAAATATGAACTAATTGAACATACGTGATAATTCAGATGTTTCCTGAATGCATACTAATATGAAGCTTAGATCCATACAGCCTTATTGCTCCATCCATATTGTCCAACCATAAAAAAAATTTCAAACTTATCATATAACATTATCGTGGCATTGTCATTCTCGTATTGCAACTTGATGTCTCATCAAACGCAAACGAAGCTCAGGAATTCACATTTACACTGAATATTTTTAAGTATGACACTAAGTTCAATGTTTTGTGTTAATTTCTTTGGTTTCTTGTTACATTTAAACAGTTACTTGTAATCTGCAGCACACATTTATCAATACAAGAAGATAAACAATTTCATTTCATGAAAATAACTTTGCTAAAGACCCTCTCAGTTAAAAAAAAAATTGAAAAAATTGCAAATTTAGCATTATGTATTTAAATAAATAAAATATGTTGTCCAGTATCAAATATATTTAAGCTAAAGATCTTTTCGATCGTATAGTGATCATCCTCAAAGCTAAAAATAAAGTTACAGGAATACATGAAGTATAAATTATACAAATCGAAAAGGTCTTTAATTTGATACCAGACATCTTTTATTTATTTAATTATTAGAAGGTCTCTCCTCACCAGCAATCTTATTAACATGTATTTAGTATATATGTACAATAAGGCATCGTTTTAGGGGCTTCTTCTTCACCCCTTCAGGCTATTTGTAATTAACATTTACATTAAATTAGCTTTCAAATTATAAAATACAATAATATATACCATAAATAAGAATATAGCACACATACTTCTACTAAAATATGTAATATTATTGTGATGTTCGAATTGTTGGTATTAATGCGTTCAGGTGACCATCTTGTTCAAATTTGTAATTGGTTTGATGTGCTGCATGTACCTAAGGGGGGTAGATTTGTGGTATGGTAGTATTTCAACGTGAATGGAAAATTTGATTATTACATTAGGGGGGATGGATAGAGGGAGGGAGGGGAGGAAAGTCGAAAGAGCTATTGATACATTATTTCTGGCATTTAATAGAAAATTTGAATAGTTTTTTCTGTACTTATATTCTTTTCTTATTTTATGAAAAATGTTATCATATGTAGTAGTGAATTAGTTCCATTCATCTGAATTTGAATTATTTCTAAATTTAATGTTAATGAAGCAAGGAATACTAAATAATCAATAAGGTATCTTTGTAGCTTACCAGAAATGGTCAAGAATAAACTGCGTAGTCATAGACCCACATTTTCTAGTTCCCAGATTACGAAAAAGTTTAAAGAAACAAGCTATTTAAGATTTTCAGAGATTTTGTTATAATACGGAAAACAATATAAATCATGATATTAAATCTTTTTGAAAATTTTCAAATTCTGTCCGAGGCACAATTGGGTTACAAAACTCAATATACTTTGATAATCATGTGGCTAATGATTCTCAGGGCATAGTTGACCTTTTTACATGTTATTTTAAATCTATGTGTTCAAAAATAATGCTGAATTTGTTGATAATTTCATGAATAAAAATAATCTTGTTAATTTGGGATCGTGTCATTGACACCAACTGAAATTTTTGACGAGATTTGGAAATTAGATAACTCTATCATACCCAGTCCAGATGGTATACCTCCTTACTTTTTTAAAGATGTACAGAACTAATTTATCACCCATCCATCATATGTTGTTTTCTTAGCCCCTTCAAGAGGGTTCCATTCCTTCAGTTTGGAACATAGTTTCATGACTCATTTTCAAATTTGGGAACTGATTGAATCTAATAAGGTGAATAATAAAATAATCCAACAAGTCATGAAAACCACATATTTAGGAGTGGAAACTTTAAGCACAAGAGACACCTATAATGAAGTTAAACAGCAAGTAATCAAAGGAACTAGAATATCTAAAAGATGTAACATGGAGAAATAAGTATCGTAATACAGAAAGTAAAGTGAAAATATACAAAACCGTAGTAAAACCTGTGATGTGATTATAGAGCAGAGACACTGGCCGATACTAGAACTAAAACTCCTCTAAGAACCTCAGAAATGACTACTTTAAGAGCAATAACAAGGAAAACAAGATATGGTAGAATAAATAATCAAGATATAAGGAATAAATGCGGAGAGATGGATATAGATAAATTCATAGGAACAAGAAGAAAGGCTGGGATGAACATGTTTCTAGGTCAGATAATAATAGGCTGATCAGAATATCAAGAGATTTAAGACCCTTAGGTAAGCAGGATCCAGGAAGACAAAGTAATGACAGATCAAAAGCTGAGCATTGATTAGGTATAGCTCTTCGATATGTATAGACATCCGATACCAATTAGTCAATAATGTTCCAATTGTGCTTCTATGTAGTGATATCTGAAAAGGTAATTTTCCAATTTACTTCCATTTCAAACATAATTTTAATATTTCTTTGGTAGCTATTAAATGTGTCATCAATGTAATTTATATTCATTATTGTTTTTTTATTATTATTATTATTATTATTATTATTATTATTATTATTATTAACATGTCTTCTATGTATCTCTTGTGCAAAAGTGTATCTTCTCCCTTGAGAACATTGATTTCTAGTTGTTGTATAACAATTTCTGTAAAAAAAGTTGCGTAGTGCTTCTCCGGTAGGGATGCCACCAATTTGTTGGTAAAAAGCATCATTAAACCTATGACAATCACAATATCAGTGTTTTGAAATAACATTAAACTTAGAAATTCTTTAAACTCTATTGTTGAATGTAACCACTTCATAAGTAACCAATACATGTGATAACATTTTTCATAAAATAATGAATATATGTAAATAAAAATCTATTCAAATTTTCTATTAAATGAGAGAAACAATGTATTTAGCATTCTTTCTCCTTTCTTGTGCCTCCCTTCCTTTACCCTCTCCCCCCACCCCCAAAGGAATAACTACATTTTCTAACCTCGTTGAAATACCATGATAACAAATCTATGCCTGTTAAATTTGTGTGATACACCACACCAAACCAATTAAAAATTTGAACAAGATGGTTACCGCAATCCATTAATACCAACAATTTAGACATCCCAATGAAATTCCATTATATTTTACTAGAAGTAAGTGTGCTATATTCTTGCTACTGGTATATAATAATGTAATTTATATGCTAATTTAATTTAAATGTTTATTACAGTTGGCCTGAAGATGGGACGAAAAAATTCCCTGAAATGTTGCCTTTTTGTACATGTTGAAAATTAATAATGCTTAATTTGCCAGTTTTTACAGTTAGTTACAGTTTATTTTTGAGTGGGAGAGCCTTTTGCAAAATTATTTTCATGAAATAAGGAAGTTGTTAATCTTTGCATATCAATGAATGTGTGAAGCACACATTGCAAAAGTTACACTACCTTATTAAAACATCCTGTGTGCAGTTAAGGTGCTAGATTTGTTTATTGACAGTCGCTTCGCCGTGAACCAAATTTTCAGTATTAAGGAACTCACAAAACCAGGATTCTGACTACACAGTATGGTAGAGGAAGTTATGTACTGCACATAGGAAGAAGAATTACCCACTGTTGTCACAAAACACATCAAAATCGCCTCATTTTTCTGTCACAAATTATTATCTCACATGTAGTTGCAGTAGTATGAAATAACCTTGATTAAATATTTTGGGGACAACTAATGTCTCTAAATTTTTTAACACCCAAGACTTTTAACTTATATTTGGAAAGGTCTCCCTTCCTCCCCATATTGAATGTTGGCAGGGAGCCCAGGCTTCAGAGGTCCTAGTTGCACCAGCCTAGTTAACCCTGTGCTTTTTCTTTTGAATAACGTATCTTAAAATAAAATAAAAAGACATACTAACAAAAACATATAATTCGCTGGGTGGTAGGGTAGAAGAGGGCAGACATGCAGTTTTGCAGACCTACACATGATCAATATTTATATTATATGTGCCTAGAAATTCCAACTGAATTTTATTTTGGTTTTAATACTGTACTGTAAAAAACCTAAACCTTACTATATTTGAATGTGTGAAAACCAGAACAGCATAAGTGACATTTTATACATTTTGAGAAAAACATGTTTATTTTAGGCTATATTTCATTGGCAATGTATTTTCGTGGTTTTATGAACAATTGAAATGCCATGGTTTTCATGAAACAAAGCACCATGACTTTACAGTGATACTGACTTTAATAAACAGATTTCTCAGAATTTATAAAATGACACTTATACTGTGTTGTTGTTGTTTTTCCACCCATTCCTTTTGTGCCTTAAATTGTAGTTCTCATGAAATGATACGATTGATTTCAATGAAAATGAATATAGAATTCTGCCAGTATAATTTATTTCAGAACAATATTATCTAATGAAACAGTTTACGTGTGTGTATTCGTGGGTGTGGTGTGGGTGTATTGTGTTTGTCTGGGGGGGGGATTGTCTCCAGAAATGTTGAGAATACTGACTGGGTTTTTGAAAATGGTTTGAATTGACTGTTTCCTGTGTTCTTAAAATTTTTAGTTCATAATAAAGTGCAAATGCAAATGACTAGTCAATACTTCGGTATGTGCTTGAACTGAACAATTGATAGTACTTGCAACCTAAAATAAATTTTCTTTTCAAAACCTTTTCAGGTGTTTTAGAAATATAATTTTTCACTCACCTTTATGAAATTTATTGTAATTTCATTGAGTTCTTTGTAGAATCTCAATTGCGTGTTCTAATTTCAAACTTTCATAACTGTACAAGGGTGTGATCAAGTTCAGAATAACCAATGTATGTTAATACTTGTGTATAAGCAATACATATGTAGGTTTGTAATTAAAAAAAAAGTACTATTGAAAAAAGGCAAAATAATCACACTGAAATAAAGAACAATTCATGATTTCAGGAATTCAAAATATTTTGACAAAATTTAAGTGTTAAATTTGTTCGCTACACAATCATTAATTCGGTGGACGATCTAAATGCTTCCAGATAAGATGTGCAAATTTTCTTTTAGATGTACCTGTATCGCAAGGAGGCAACAGATCAAGCAAAGTCTACTCCGGCTAATATAATTGGCCGAACTCGGCGCCGTCGGTCAGGACATGCCATATTCGTTACTTATGACATACCAAAATCCCCAGCAAAACCACGAGAAGTTGCATTACGGTACTTGCGTTTGAAGTTTCTTAGTGAGGCTCATCTCAAGAAAATTGAAAAGGTACTATGATTTTAAAATATATTATTATTGTTGGTTGGTTTTCTTTTTCTTTAACTCAACACATACTTGTTCACACTTTGCAGCTTTTCTCAATGCGTCCAATATGGTCCAAAAATGCCTTGATGTTTCACACAAAATATACAAGTGACCAACTGAAGTTCTTACTGCCAGCAGTAGCATACTATTTTGTGACAGGCCCATGGAGAATAATGTGGGTACGTTTTGGATATGACCCTAGAAAAGATCCCAGTTCACGAAAATACCAGACTCTTGACTACAGGTTGAGAATTTCAGGTGAGTTCTCTTTTCCCATTCTTCCATTGATTTTACATAACACTTGATATCTTACTGTAGACATTTATGTGTAGGAGGTCTGAAGACAAAAGTAAAGGCAAAAAGAAGCTACTGCAACTACTTGTTGCCTTACAAATCCAGTCCTTCGTGTCGACCTAAAACAGCTGTAATTACCAAAGAACTTGTACAAAATAAAAATGTGAAAAAGAAACATAGTACAGATTACAAAGAAAACATGTACGTGTTTCGACCAGGCATGGTACCACCTTCTCGACAAATGTTCTACCAGGTAATTTGCTTTCCCCTCAGAATTTGAGAGATCTATTGATTGTATTGGTTTTTAATATCATTAATAATGAGAGAAACCATCACACTCTCTGTTATATAATAATAATTACATTAACAATAATATTTAATTGAGTCATATATACAATTACAATTCTGTGTGATGAGTCAAATATGATGTGTGGGGAGGGAGTACAATTGCACACATTCTTCAAGGCAGAGAGTGAAGTTACTTTGACTCTCCAGAAGCAAACCATCTCAGCATATTTTCATTTAGATTTTAATGTGTATGATTTTAGAGATGTTTTAGATTTTAATGTGGTATTGCTGTTGCTAAAGTAATAAGGCTATGAAGTTTAATACTTTGTTTTTTATTTCAGTATTGTGATGTGTACGTTCCTGAAATTCAAGAGATGATTATCAAATTGCCTCCTCCCGCTCCAGACGCAGTTTGCCATGAAAAACATGGTTGGATGCCAAGTGGTCTGGATGATCAGTGTCGAGAAATTTTGAATAGGCTTGTCACAGAGGTTTTAAGAAAGGAAATGACTCAGGATCTACAGAAAACATAAATGATGAATCAAAGATGTAAAATGATTTTTCTGTTCTGTTCTCTTCACAGTGTTGATGTGATTGTTCTTAACAGTTCTCTTCACAGTGTTGATGTGATCGTTGTTAACAGGGTTTTGCTCAGAAGAGAGTATCACTGTGGGCATTTGGGGGTACCTGTGAAACACACTTGTATTTATTGTAAATGTATTGATGTTTGCCTCTCAAGTGGTATGTAATTTGTGAAATGGAAGTGTAGCTTTTATGAAAGATGCTATTTTTATGTAGGATATGAATATGAACAAAAGAGATTACACTCTGGTAAATGTTCCATGCTGATTCAATTTAATTTTGAAAATTTGCTCATGTCTGACTTCTTGTTCTGGCTACAATGGAATGTATTGTCAAGAATACAGTGTTTAATAAAGGTCCATCAATAAATCATTGTTTTTAGTCTCATTCAAAAATATTTTACTAACCTCCCATGAAAAAAAAATTTGTTTCATATTTGGTGCAGGGAATATTTTCTCTCTCTCTCTCTCCTCTCTCTCTCTCTCTCTCTCTCTCTCTCTCTCTCTCTCCTCTCTCTCTCTCACTCTCTCTCACTCACACTCACTCTCTCTCACTCACTCTCTCTCTCACTCACTCTCTCTCTCACACTCACTCTCTCTCTCTCTCTCTCGTAAATCAAGCTATTTAATTCTGGTGGGTCAAAAACCTTAATTTAATAATTGCTGCTAGGATTATTAGTTTCAGAACTGTCAGGTTATCAAAAATATTTTTGGTATCAACAAGTACTTTATTCTTATTCTGCATGTGTAGAATTTAGTTGCTTGATACATTTTGTGTGTGCTGTGAAAGGTTTTTTCCCTGCCAGAGTTCTTAAATGTGAATGGATAAAGAGATATCCAGGATGATAACAAGGGTGTACACTGCTGACACAATTGGGAACAATTTTTTTGTATTGTGTTCATATGACTTTCTTTCTGAACAAGACATGATTACCCACCATAAAGAGAATATTGTCGTCCATTATACCAACTTTCTAGTTACATTACAATTCATACATGTGCATAATCTTTATACTGTTTTCAGCCCCAGTGGCTTCTTATTCTCAAAGATTGTGAACCCTCTTGACGGAAAGATGAGCAACATGCGTGTTAGACAACTTCTGTTCAGAAGGGTCCTATTGTGAACCATCATCATTGAGAGGTAGCATCAATAACCTAATAGTTACTTATTTCTCTCTATTTGATAATTCTGATGAATATATTAAGATTTATGATAGCAGTGTTACTTAAAATTCCTGGGGACTAGGTACCAGTGAAAATTTACCTTTGTTAAATAGAAAACATGTCTACAATATTAGATACTAACCAGAATTTAATGTTAATTTCTCTCAAAACATGCATCCATCTGGGGAATGTAAACAACAATAGCACCTACACCATGCATAGGATTTTTTCCAAATTGAACTCCCTGTCCATCTGGCTTGACTCGATGCTTTGAGATTTTGAGAATTATTCTTTAAAATTTGGGGGTACGCCCCTAGGACATTTTCACGGAAAAAGCTTCAATTTTTTTCTTTAAATTTCTTGTAAGAATGGAATAAAATACACCTATAAAGGTGGCAAAGGTCCGGTTCTCACTGTTGACTCTGAATACCTACAAAATTAAAGATAGAGATTTTTCCTTCAAATAAAATTTGTTGTTCATAATTTAGGTAATGTACACTATTTTGCGAAATTTAGTAGTTTTCATGCAATTTGTGCAATTTAAAAAAATACATAAACAAGATTTTCTCAAATTCGGCTCCAAATTGTTTTTGAACTTTTGGTAGGGATAGTACTAAATGCACTTGGATGCAAAGATGACATAAATGTTATATTTTGTAATTTTTTTTCCCATTAATTATTATTATTATTATAATTTTTACTACTCTCCTGTTGTTAATTTTTACATAAGTGACTATTAGTACACATTAATGTTTTTATGAGTACATGTGCTTGAAATATCATAAGTTATATAAAGTTTCTCAAAAACAATTTTTCTATGAAAATCTCATAATTCTGGCTTTTCAGAAACACTCAAAAGCCATTTTCTCAAAAGTAACTCCAAATTTTTTTCTATACATCTTTCTAACAAATAGTGCTAATTGCATTGTTTAAGATGATGTAGGATTAATTTTCCTGTATTCTTTTTCAAAAACAAACGTTTTTTGTTGTTGTTTTTTTATGTCTCACGCCTTTAATTTGCACATTTCCATCTATTTGTAAACACATTTGCATTTGTAAGTTAAAGTGCTTGAAATTACTTCATATGAGGTTTTTTTGAAAACTCGATAGTTTTCTTTGAAAAGTGGTTCAAATTTCGAATATTCAGTATCACTTAAATGGCATTTTTTTTAAAAAAAACAGCTCCAAATTTATCAAAGAAAATTGCCGTGTAAGACGAGGTTTCACTGCTCTTAAATATTCTTAAAATAATATTTTCGTTCAATTACTAGAAATCAAAAAATTAAAAAATTTCCAAAAAATGTACTTTAAGCAGCAATAGAGGCAGCTGGAAGAAGTATGTGGCAAGTTTGAATAGATAACAAAGACCAAAGGAAATAGAGTAATACGGGAAAGTGTGTGCCATTGTGTTGGACCGCTAATTACTTGCCTGTATACGGAGTAATATACGGAGCAGTAATATAATGCTGCACAGAAGTAATGTGCTAAACTGCACATTTTTTCTCACCCCTTGGTAACGCTTATGTAATAATGTTATACCGCATTTCTGCCTATATCAACAAATCGCGGTCAATGAGCCCTGGCAACAAAGCTTGCATGCAGCAATGGGCATCTATTTTCTTATCAATTCTTGCTGGAAGCGCCGTTTTTTTAAATAAATAGAACTCTTTCAGTTTGCATTGTTGTGGTTTTATGAAAGGTGGTGCAGTTTTATGAAAGGTCGTCTAAGGCGTTCTTTATGGAACACTGTTGCCTGTTTCTAATGCACACAATTATTTTTTGCCATGTCTCCGAGATATTTTAAATTAATTCTTAAATGTTTTATTTTTTAAATTTTAAATGTGGACTTGCAACCAAACAAAACTATAATTAGTCTCTTCCTTAATTCATTAATCTTCAAATATGGTCAATTTTTAGAGAATATGAGTATATTTTAGTAATGTAGCATCAAATTTAGGCAATATATAAATTTTGAACAATTGTTGTCTCAAAAATGACTCCACATTTCTGCTTTTTTTTCTTTCTTTTCTTTTTAACTTCTTTACGTACGTATGAATGGAGTAAAATACGTATTATAGAGAACTTTACGGATGCGTTACGGTTAATGCTGCGGCAAAAACCGACGGTTTTTCGGCAGCAAAACTCATACTGCGGGCCCTGATACAAAAAACGTGGATAAATCCTAATCTAAAATGTAAATTACTCCCTCTAACACATCATCTAGTCAGATTTCAGAAATTAGGGATCCTTGACATCGAAAATGTGTTGCGTTATTCTTTGTGCCTTTTGTAAAAGTAGTGCTAAATGTAGTCTGAGATGTAATAGTAATTTTTCTCTATTTTGCCTTTTTTGTTGTTGTTTTTCAAACAAATACAAAAATGCAATTGTTTGACGTCTCTCACGTTAATATTTACATTAGCGGCGATTTGTTCACTTTATTGCCTTTGTGGGTACATGTTCTTTAAATGATCATTTACAAAATATCTCCAAAACGCAACATTTTTATTTCAAAATTCCACATTTTCAGATACGGTTAAACACGATTTTCTCAAACGGCTCCAATTTTTTTCTTCAAACTTTTCATACGGACAGTGCTGATTGCACTGTTTAAGATGGCATATATTCATTTTGGTCCATCTTTTGTTGTTGTTTTTTTACCATAAATTAAACAAAAAGGTATTTTTTAATATATCTCACATCTTTAATATGCACATTTACAACGATTTGTGTACATTATTGTATTTGTGATGGGAAATGCGTCAAATGACTTCCAATAAAGCTTTTTGAAAACTAAAACATTTCTGTGAAAAAGAGCTTTAAATTTGTTATTTACAGTAACACTTAAACGCCGTTTGTTAAAACGGATCCAGTTTTCAACGAAAATTTCCTTATACGTTTTTGGTCGTGATGATTGTATGATGAAGATAATATTCATCTGAAAGAAACTAGATTGAAGGGACGTAAGAAATTTAACTTAGAAATAAAGAATTCTTCTGTAATATGTGCGTGTGCGCGCGTGTGTGTCCGTATATGCGTACGTGTACGATGAAGTAAAAATATTGTAAATTCGAATTTCCTTAGACTTTGTTTCACAGTTCACAAAATGGCAATAAGTCGGTTGGAATTTTTTTCGATTTTTTGTCATGGTTGCGGCCGCGTTAATCATATTGTAGATGTCATCCAAGCTTCCGATTGGATTACTCCGTAACAGCTGATTAACGCAACAACCCCTATTTTTAAATCTAAGTTTTGATAACGTTGTTATGAAAGGAAATAGATGTAAGGAATGCAATATATTTAACGTTCAACTAACAAATAACGTATTTTACTTTGAGAAGTTTTGATCTTTGATTTTGGTAATCAGAAATTGTTAGCTAACTCCGATGTAACCAAGGCAAGTTTGTACGAAATATTAATCTTTCTTTTATAATAATAATAATAATAATAATAATAATAATAATAATAATAACAACAATATTTATTGAGTCACTATCATTGAATCGTGTATGACGAGTCAATATGATGCCTTGGGTGGAGAGTGCGAAGTTATATTACTGTTCAGGAGCAAACAAGGGGCCATCTCAGCATTTGCTCAAAGGACCAAGGAAACTGAACAAAACCTGATCGAGATGGGGTCATTGGCTTAGAAATACAATACTTGTTAAAGTTAGATTAAGATATTATACAGTAGATAAATCATCTGCTATTAATTAACATTTTAATATGATATTTTAATGCTACTACTTATAATAATTTTATTAATAATAATTACATTAATAATACATATCAATTATGTTTGCAACTACATCAAATTTAAGAATAGTAGTACATTCTATATTTATAACTTGAAATGGTGAGGAGGCAAGTTTTGACCTTCTTCTATTTCAATTTTTTCCTTCTTCTATTTCACAGGATGTGATATGCAGTTCTTTCTTCTTTGCTTCAGTTTGAAACAGTTCACATGAAACAGAAAGTCTAATGGAATAAGAAATTCTTATTTATTTATATTTTTAAGGGAAATGTAATTTGAAAATTCCTTTACACTGAAGAACATGTTGTTAAGCAGGAAAGCTTTCAATTTACTTTTAAATGTATGAATTGTGTTTATGTCTTTGATATCATTGCCTAGTTTGTTGTAAAGTGTAATGCCCTCTATTAGGGTACTTTTTTGATAAAGTGTAGTTTCAGAGTGGGGAACGTGTAGGTTATCCCTTTGCCGGGTGTTATAGTTATGTACATCAGAATTTAAAGTAATTTTTCTTTATAATGTGCTGCGGTTACTGTAATAATTCGATTTATTCATGTTTCTTTCATTTGTAAAAGTTAGAAATTACTACTATCCCTATTACTACCCTGGTTATTGAAATGGAACGCAGATATGAACTACATGCGCTTTGTTTGTATTGGTTGAATATTTTCAATAATGCCAGATAGTAAGTGCAGTGTACTACCTCTAGTTATATTCCAATGGTAAACGATATAATGAATTTGAAAGTTGAAGCAACCAAGAGCTCTTATAAGTATATACCTACAGTATCTAATTTATAATAACGTAATATAATGCATAATACTTTTTGCCGCTCACAGATTGAAACCGCTGCATCTTCTTAATGCCTTTTACACGATTATGTTTTCATTTTTCGCCGATACAGAAAAGAGACACGACTAGATATAATTTGTACGAAAAAATTATGCATTCTTCATTTTTTTGGTACAAATTTCATTCAGTTTGACTACCACACTCCTGGTCGTTAAGCGTATGGCGCGATTTATTTATTTTGTAAAGTTCGATAGCGTTCTAATGTGTTGAATTGTAATGTGTAGTGATTATGTAGGGAGAAATAAATTATCTACTGTTTTTTTTTTGTCGTCGCGTTCCGTGCTCAGTAATATATATTGTTACCATAGTAGCGATGTTCAAATATTTGATCTTCAGGGCTTTTTGTGGCGTCCGCGGGAAGTATTTTTATTACGATTACGTACAAAGACCAGAAATGGCAGTGTAAACCACTGGAATCACGTTCATCCAGTTGCAGTCGACATCGAAACTTAACGCGTAGAAACGAATGTCATTTTCCATCCACTTTCTGTGCAGAAAAATGATGAAAACATGATTAACAAATTACCGTGTAAAACAGGCTTGAGACATCTGCGGCCGCTGGTCTGACTGGATCTATACTAAAAAAAAAATAGTTCTCGAGTTTTAATTTCTTGGCGCGCGAGGCCTTGTCTTCACGATGGAAGCCTGACCTTGTCTTCACCAGTCTTCACGGTATTGCGACTTCATCGGTGCCATAATCCATTGTGCCGCTAGATGTCGCATGATCTCGAGCACTACTCGGTACGATCATGATCGTGTGACAGCGGCACGACTGAGAAACGAAAAATACCGTGAGATATTCCATCGTATGTTTAGATACACATGTTATTGTGTGAAGTCAAAAAAAACAAATTTAATATTTGAGATATGATTATGCTAAGTAGTATACGTGTGCAATGGTTGTAAACGTAATAGTTTTAAGTTGTGAATCGCGCGCCAAGAAATAAAAACCAAGAATAGGCCCCATAACAATGCTCTTATACATCAATTTAAATGTAGCGGTACGACCGAGATAGTCGCGAAAAACCGTTAGATATTCGATCGTGAAGAATGCTACGACGCGCCACGTTATAAAAACCGAAGTATATGATCTCTACTGTTTAATAAGCCTCTTCGTAATATGTTTCACCAGCATTTTTGACTAATGAAGGTTACTAAAAACATTTTAGTTTCAAATTGATTTTGTTTGAGAGTATGTAAGAAATAAATATCATCGCTGTAATGAGTTTTACTGAGTCTTTATAACAAAACAGAAATACCAAGGTCTTCATGATAAAAACAATGAAATTGTAATAAAACATCTGTATATTCTTCAAAAGTGGCCTTGATAGACTTAATTTTTGAAATTGAAGCTCCCGAATGGATAACCGCGACCCAGCTGATCAAACGTCAATTCCATGTACAGTGACTCAAAACTATCCAGACGGGAAATTTAGCAGAATAATAATGGAATATAGGAATATAAAAAAAGACAATAAAAATAATAAAGTATATTATATGATTACTCTCATAAGCAGTTATAAGGTATTTTATATTATTTATAAGGTACTAAAGTTTCTATAAAATCAAAATAATCAACTGACATTTTTAAATTTGAATTTTTTATGCCATAAAGTAAACTTACAAAGCTATTTTGACCCTTCAATAGAAATATAAACAGTTAACAATATTCAAACAGAAAAACGCGTAATAATAACACAGTAGGAGAGTTCAATATCTTGTGTAGCCATCCCCTTTTGCTGCAGCGCTTCCTTCAGTATATTTGGTATAATTTGTGCCAAGTTTTTGGGTGTAAGAAGGATAAATTTCTCGCTATTCACGTTGCATTATTTCATTTAATTCTTGTTTGGTATGAATTGTATAATTTCTTATCTCATTTACCAATTTTTCCCGAAGATGTTCTCTAACAGTTAAGTCTGATGACTGAGGGGATGGATGAAGTATCTTTGGGCAGTTATACAGCAGCCATTTGAACAACTTGCGATTTGTGCTAGGGATCAGAGAGTATATATCTAGGGATCATTATCATGATACAAATAAAATCTAACAACAGTACCAAGATTTTCAGCATTTGGTTTAAGAATGTCAAGATAGTTGAACCTGCTCATCTTTTGTTATGAAACACAAGTTCATCGCCACCATTGACTGACATGCAGCCCCACACCATTATATTTCCTCTTCCGTGCTTCACGGTTGCTTACGTTTTCTCCTTCCAGCTCTTAATTTAGTTTCTTCCACACCCGAATTCTTCCATAAGATCCACAATGTTAATTTTCGATTTATCAACGAAGTTTACTTTATTCCATCAATATTCATCTTTTTCTGTTTGTTATTTAGCAAACCACAGTCTTTTCCGTCTGTTTGCTTTACTTATAAATTGCTTTCTTCTGGCAACGCGACTATGGGAATTGGACCTCCTAGTAACTTTCGCACGGTTTCGAGATTTACTTTCTTGTCAATGCCAATTTCTACCCGTGGAGTAATTTTTGACGCATTACTACGAGGATCCTTATTTATTATTCTCACCATGAGATTCTCTTATCGATTAGAAAATGTCTTCGGATGTCTTCCGGGTTGCAGTTCAAAACTCTCTTCATTGATGTACCGTGAGATTGTCATTCGCTGTGCTTTCTTCATTAATCGCATTTTGCTCATTTTTCGGCATGATTTGCCCCTTGCGTGAATGTAAATAACCAGCTGACGCAGCTCAAAAGTGGTGTTCTATCCTCTGCGACTTATTTCCCTTTAATGTTAGGTTTCCCGGAAAGAAACGGAAAGATCCGTTACCGTATGCCCAAATGGCTGTCCGAGTAGTTTTGTTGAAGTGAAGTCTCTGCATCTGCGTTTCATTTTTCTTTTAATGAAACAAATACATATTTTTGAAAGTAATTATAATGTTTACATATACAAGAACATTCTATTATTTCACACATGTGCGCTAACTAATGATTATTTGGTTTTCTGAGGAAAGTTTAACCAATTGTTGGTTAAAGTAATAAACGTCCGAATAGTCTTGTGAGCCTTTGTAAGATATATTTTATAATATTGTACTTATTATAATTTAATTGGAGAATATGTATACTGCATGTACCTTCCACCACCACCAACAACGTCTGTGTGGCAGTGGAAAATTATATTCACAAATGACGAAAAAATATGGAACCGAAATAAAACGTAAATATTTCATTTCCGTGGGATAAGTAACTTACATAATAATATAATCCACAATATATTGTGTTGATCAATGCAAATAAAAATGATTTCATATTTTTTTTAAATTATTGGTTCTGTACATTAATTAAATTGAGCGTCAAAATGAGCGTTGTGTGTAAATTCTATGGAGCAACATAGAGATATAATTTATGAATTGATATGCACACTCCATGAAGCGTTAGCATTGCAGAAAACCGGCTCTTGACCGTCGTGCCGAAGATACAAGTTTTATGAGACGTTTCTGTTTGAAGAGGGTTGAGGAAAAATTGTGAGAGCTATATCCGCATTCATCGGCCTTGTAGCATCTCACGGTGGGTACTGGAACCAATAAAATTATTAATGTATTATTTCTTTTGCGATTTGTTTCTGTTTCATTAAGATGTGAGAAATTGTATCAGGAAACGATATGGCTGTTCTATTTGTTGTTGAAGCATGTAATCGTTAAGTACATAGAATTTCTACTTGTGAGGTAGCCTGCACAATGGAGAGTTGAAATAAATTATTAAGACAATAAACGATTAATAAAATGCATTTGATAATTCATACATCGATGTGAAATTACTCCGGTCGTAATTGTCAACCTCTAGTAAGCTTATTCGGCCTTTCAAAGATAGTGAATGGGTGTGTGAGCACATACTTAAAATTTTAAAAAAACAATTCAGTTAATAATTTAGTTTAAGATGACGAGAACGTTTTGGTGATTGTCCCCCCTATTTGCACAGGTTTGCTATGGCAGAAGCTGAAGAACTGGGTTTGTCTGCTGAAGAACATTTGGAAGCTTTAGATGCCATAGAAAATGGACAAGATGTTGATGTAGGGGATGGTGGTGATGTTGATGCATCGGGAGCAGGTAGTGGTGGTGTGGATGACCCCGTAAGTGGAATCGGCATACAAGATACAAATTGCAACCATCGACAATTTCTAATTACTTCGTTCAGTGGTTTCTAGAGGTTTTCTTATGCTTTTGAACATGAGTATTAATTGTTATGTTTTAATGGAATTTTCAAGTGAACCTAAGTGTTTAGACTTTTATAATTAAGATAAGGTATTGAATTTAAGTTGGTAATTGTGTATTTTATGATGATTTCCATGCCAATGATGTCATTGGTAATTTTTAGGAAACTTCAAGTTCTATTACATGAAGTGCTGCTGCAGACAGCATGCTAAGTGTAGTTTCTTAAAGATGATCTTCAGGAATGGGTTTTTCATGTGTAGATAGGGATAAGGATGAATTTCATGGTGCTGACTTCCATTAAGGTACATAATTCTGTCTTCATTTCATAGGTGTTCGATTTTTATATCAATTTTGATTACCACAAATTTTGTTTCCAATAGTAAAATTGCAGGATTGTGAAATGGTTAATGTATTTTTCTTTTGTGTTAAGTTAGGATTCTTGGGATACAAAGGCTTTGTAACTATTTTGAGACAAATGGAAGATTTTACATATCTGAAAACTTCTAATGTTAGTTTGATCTGTCAGGTATCTTTGTTTTAAATTTTGCTAAAGAAGGTTGGCTCTGAATGTACGCAAACTGTTATTTTTCTTGTAGTCACAAGAAATATATGGTAAAGCTCGAAAACTATTGATATTTTCACAAAAGTAGGTTTGAAAAAATAGCAAAAGTCCAAGTCTTTTTTTTTT